TGATGTCATTGATATGTTTAAAAAGTAATATTTGGGTTTGCAAAGGTGTTTGCTGCACAAAAATTGGATTTATATCTATTGTGGCTATAGAGGAATATACAAAAGTTTTTATGCTGGCAAATCTGCTTTAAGAATATGGTTTAGGGCACAAATCTGTACACATTTAGTGTATGTACATATACATTTAACCACTTCCTATCCACCCTATAGCAGTAATACTGGTACAGGGCAGCACGGGTGTGAAAAAATCACATATATATATATATATATATATATATATATATATATAATTTTGCATTTCTGGGTCTCGGAGTGTCTCTCCTGGTGTCGGTGGCACTTTGTTGGGCAGTGAATAGTTGGATGGGATAGTTGTAGTCTCCCAGTGTGATCTCGGAGGAGAAGTGTGGCGGTGGCGGAGGAGGAGGAGTAGTTGTTCTTCTCCGGGGAGTAGAAGATCGGAGCCTGGACTTCCATGGGTTGTCAGCAGCCAGAGAAGGCTTGATGTGGATGTATGATCACCCCGGAGGGGTGGCCGGAGTATTGGGGGGCGAGGAGCAACAAGTCAGGTATTCACTTGTATTTTCAGAGGGAATGAGTGGCCACTTACTGCTTTATTGCCTGGAGAGGAGATCTGCTACCTTATGAGCCTGTACTTGAGGGGAGATCAGCGTGGAGAGCTGTGGAGGAGTCCCGAGCACTAAGGATCCAGGTGTAGTGATCCTAAAAGCTCTTTGGCCCTGTGTGGGTCGAAAGAGGGAGGTGAGCGGGCAATCCTGCCATTTTGGATATCTTTGCACACCTGTTATCACTATTGGTTTAAGATCTTACGTGGACTATACTGCCTAGTGCAATTAGGTGTTCTTCACCTCACGGGACTTTTTTATATAAAATTATCCTATTTGTTATATGTTTATTATTTATTTTATGCACGGTTGGATATATATATATTTTTGTGACACAGTGGTTGTTATTTATGTTTTTTGTGCCTGGAGCACTCTTGTCTTCTCGTGGGAGGCTGTAGCACAATTTTGTGTTTAGTCCCATTTGTGGACTCCTTGTATGTTGTTTGTATATCACTAATAGATCCAGTAGTATCATTTAGGGCACTATTGTCATTTATTTGGTCCCAATTTGGACCTGTTGGTTGGCACTTGTCACACGTGGTATTATGTGAGTGATTTAGACACTGTTGTGCATCACGCTTTATGTATGTTGTACATTGATTCATTTTGTATTCACATACTGTGCACTATTTCACTTTTATACACCTTCTAATTATTTACTTATATATTGTTTTTTATCATGCCAATATTTGTGGGATTCATATGGTATTAGTGCCACATTATTTTCTTTTTATATAAATTTAACCGCTTCCTATCCACCCTATAGCAGTAATACTGGTACAGGGCAGCACGGGTGTGCAAAATCACATATATATATATATATATATATATATATATATATATATATATGTGATTTTGCATTTCTGGGTAGGGGGCGCACACGATCTGCGCCCACGCCGCTATTCGCGGCCTCGACTGTCAATCACCAGGTCCCGGCTGGTGATTACTCACCGGCACCTGGTGATCGGGGAGCATTACCAACGGAGGGCAAGTGGTTAAACAAGACTTAATACATGCAAAGGGCACATAAAGTGTTTCTATACTCAGAACTCTGCATTCACTATATCTGGTCTCCCACAGTACACAGAACATGGAAATGCAATTATATTAGTAAATATAAACTGCTAAATACCTTTTCTCATCAGCAGTTAGAGCAGTCTTGTGACTTCTATCAGTGTCCAACAGAGCACTGGTTAAAGCTTGTAAGAGGAGTTTTCATTCTCCCCTATGAGGCTACAGGACCTCTGACCCTGTGTCTGGACAGTGCTGATTGGCCCTGTGCTGATCACATGCACTCTGCCAAGAAAAAAAAAACTCTGTTCTATCAGGATAAAAATAGGGGACAGTAGAAGAAGGGGAGGTTCAGAGAAGTCAGGATCAAACATCCATTTTACACAATGCAGAGGATTAACCCCTTAGGTTCCACAGTGAGTATAACAAGATAGCTTTACTGCATATACAGACTGATTTTACTGTTGTGGGTTTAGTAACACATTAATAAGCAAACCCATATAGTGATTATTCAGGATGTAATGTTCAAACATTGAGAAACTCTGTAATGCAGTGTCCTGAACTTTAAATGTTTACCAAAAAGCATTTGCCAAATGCTTTTGAATACTACCTAACTTTCTGAGATGAGAACAAGGGACAGCTTTTTGTACAAAATATGTAGGACACAGTCCTGCCATGCTCCCCATAATGCGGCACATGATGAATATGTGAAAAAATGATCAGGTAAGTACTTTTTATTTATTTTGCTTTTAAAAACAACATTTGCAGTTGATTAGCAGTTGGATGAAAGGTTCAGTGCTGTATAACAGTTTTGTTACTTAGTGTACTTAGTGTAAGTCAGCCTAAAGTTTTTTTCTAGTTTAGGATACAGTGGGGATCCCATGTCTGGTTTTTTACGGCTAACCAGGCTCCATTACAGTGATTTTTCTCACTTCCTCTCCTGCTGACACCATATCACCAAACAGAAAGTGACACAGACAGCAATAACAATCTGATAGGGGCTTTAGCCTTCTACTTTTATTATCCACCTCCCGTCCGGCCGTTGTATATAAACGGCTGGACAGTGGCAGTGCAGGGTCGGGTGGCTGTTTATAAACGGCCTTCCCGCCCCCTGCTTGTGTGCGCTACCTGGGACACAGTGGAACAATGATCGTCATACGGGACCACTGTGCGAGGTCCCGATTATGTGATCACTGATTGGCCAATCAGTGATCACATGCAGAGTAGTAAGCAAGATGTCACTTCTGACATCGTTGCTTACTATGTGTGAAATCTGTGAATGATCGCAGAGGTCACATGATACAAGGTTATTCACAACAGCCTTGTACCATTTGACAAGCTGTGACCAATCACAGCTTACACAGTAGTTCTCAATGGCTGCAAGGATGCAGCCAGAGAGGAGAAATGATTGCTTTTACAGCCTTTATGGGTGTAAAACCAGCCAGTGAAAAAAAAAAAAAAAAAAATCTTCATCACCCCCCACAAGTAGTACAGTGTCACCATGGTGACACCGTACTGCTGGGGTGATAGTATGTAAAAAAAAAAAAAAAAAAAAACCATAAATAATAATATAAAAAAATAAAATAAATATGTAAAAAAAGTTTAAAAATTATAATTTTTGGTTATAAACTAATTTGTGTTTTTTTTTTTTTTTTCTTACTAAAAAGATAACAGAAGAAATTTTGGCCAAGATTTATGATGAAATATTATTTATTTGAAAAATTTTATAAGAAAAACACTTTTTTTCAAAATTTTTTGGACTTTTTCCAAAAATCCCACTGCTGAATAAATACCACCAAAATAAAGCTTTATCTGTCTCAAAAAATGCAAAAAAATTCATATGGGTACAGTGTTGCATGACAGCGTAATTGTCATTCAAAGTGTGATAGCGCTGAAAGCTGAAAATTGGCCTGGACAGGAAGGGGGTAAAAGTGTTCGTACTTGAAGTGGTTAAGAAAAACATTATGTTTTATATTTTTGTTTCTATTATATTTATATAATATTTATATATTTTTGCATTTTATTATGTCTGCCTGTGTTGCTGCTGGAGAATCCTTTCTGGTAAAATGTTTTCTGCAGGACAGGACATGAGGGTAAATCTTTCTGGATACCAATAGAACTTTGACAGGGGTTCTAACCTTTTCCCTTTGGAAGTTTGGGCTAGACATTCAGGATTAATTTAGTGCCTACAGATTGTACAAAACTTTACAGTACAGTTCAGTTCAATACAGGAGGAATCAGAGGGCCCTGCTTGTTAGAGCTTACTATCAAAAAAGGAGGGACAAGTGATACAAAAAGTGATAACTGTGGGGGATGAGCTGATGAAGCAGGTGTTAGATGGAGGAGGGATAGGATTCTTTGAAAATAAGGGTTTTCAGGGATTGCCTAAAAGTGGACAAGGAATAGCAGATAGTCGGACAGATTGGTGTAAAGAGTTTCATAGAATGGGAGTGGCTCGGGAGAAGTCCTGGGGCTGAGCATGGGAGGCAGTGACAAGGGAGACAGAGAGCAGAAAGTCTTAAGAGGAGAATTATTTGGTTGGTATTTTGAGACTTGGTTAGTGATGTAGCTGGGGGCCGAGTTGTGGATGTCTTTGTAATTGTTAGTATTTTGAATTTAAAGGACAAGTTCACCTTTTAGTAAAAAATAATAAATACACATTTTTTTGCATGTAAAAAAGTGTGCATTTATTATTTTTGTCTGCAGGAACCTGTAAAGCATTGCGCCAGCGATCAGCAGATTGTAGTGTAGGTGTAGTGAATAGCCAGAAATGGACACTCAAGTCCCTCAATATGAGTTCATCTTTAGCTCTTGAACCTTCTGGAAGGGCTGTGACTATGTTTTTGTTATTTCTCTTATCCAATGGTATTACAAGGAAATTATAAGAGTCTTCAAACCACCACTCTTTCTCTCTAAAATCCAGTTTTCCAAAAAGTCTCCAAAATTCACAGTAAATGTTTAACCACTTGCCTACTGGGCACTTATACCCCCTTCCAGGCCAATTTTCAGCTTTCAGCGCTCTCACAATTTGAATGACAATTTCACGGTCATGCAACATTGTACTCATATGAAATTTTTATCATTTTTTTGAGACAGATAGAGCTTTCTTTTGGTGGTATTTAACTAGTTGCCGACTGCAGATAGCCGAATGATGGCTGCACTGCGGCTGGCCAGTTCTGGGTGGACGTCATATGACGTCTCCCCAGAACGCGCTCTCCTGCGCGCCCCAGGGGGCGCGCACCCGGCGATCTCCGTGATCGCTGTGTCCTACGGACACAGCTGATCACGTGATGTGGTAAAAGGCCGATCATACCGGCCTTTTACCACGTGATCAACGGTGTCCAATGACACGCTGATCACAGGGAAATGCAAGTGCCGGTTCTCGGCTGCACTTTCCTCACGCTGTCAGATCGTGAGGAAAGTATTGCCGAGAACCGGCAGTTGTCAGAGCGAGGATCGGCACCGATCATCAGGGCCACTGATGATCAGTGCCCTGATGATCGGTGCCCAGCAGTGCCACCCACAAGTTCTGCCCACCTGTACCCAGCAGTGCGCCCACTAGCTCCGCCCACCTGTGCCCAGCAGTGCACCCACCTGTGCCCAGCAGTGCACCCACCTGTGCCACTCTGCAGTGTCACACACCTGTGCCCAGAAGTGCCACCTACCTGTGCCCAAAAGTGCCACCCACCTGTGCCCACCCACCTGTGCCCACCAGTGCCACCCACCTGTGCCCACCAGTGCCACCCACCTGTGCCCACCCACCAGTGCTGCCCACCAGTGCCACCCACCAGTGCAGCCCAGCAGTGCTGCCAGTCAGTGCCACCAGTCAGTGCCCAGCGGTTGTGCCAGTCAGTGCCGCCAGTCAGTGCCCAGCAGTGATGCCAGTCAGTGCCATCTATCAGTACCCATCATCAGTGTCACCTATCAGTGCCGCCTATCAGTGCTGCATATTAGTGCCGCCTATCCGTGACACCTCATTAGTGCTGCCTATCAGTGCCGCCTATCCGTGCCACCTCATTAGTGCTGCCTATCAGTGCCCTTTAGTGCTGCCTATCAGTGCCCATCAGTGCCGCCTATTAGTGCCCATCAGTGCTGCCTCATCAACGCACATCAGTGAAGGAGAAAAAATACCTGTTTGAAAAATTTTATAATAGAAACAAAGAAACTTTTTTTTTTTTACAAATTTTTTGCAATTTTTAATTTATAGCGCAAAAAGTAAAGCGCCCAGTGGCGATTAAATACCACCAAAAGAAAGCTCTATTTGTGAGAAAAAAATGATCAAAATTTCATATGGGTACAATGTTGCATGACCGCGCAATTGTCAATCAAAGTGCGGCAGCGCTGAAAGCTGAAAATTGGCCTGGTAAGGAAGGGGGTATAAGTGCCTAGTAGGCAAGTGGTTAATCACCTCTAGGTTTTTTATTTTTTGCTAAACAAACCAAAAACAACTGAAAATTTTGACAAAAAGCCTTTTTTTTAGTTTCTGTTATAAAATTTTGTAAATAAGTGATTTTTCTCCTTCACTGATGTGCGTTAATGAGGCTGCACTGATGGGCACTGATAGGCTGCACTGGCGGGAACTGATAGGAAGCACTCATATATGACACTGATAGGTGGCACTGATAAGCAGCACTGACTGACACTGATAGGCAGCACTGACTGGCACTGTTAGGCAGCACTGACTGGCACTGTTAGGCAGCACTGACTGACACTAATAGGCGGCACTGACTGGCAGTGATAGTTGGCACTGAAAGGCAACTCAGATGGGCACTAATATGTGGCATGATGTGCAATGGTAGGCACTGATATGTGGCATTGATGTGGCACTGGCATGGTGGCATTGATGGGCACTGACAGGTGGCATTGATGGACACTGACAGGTGGCACTGATGGGGCTACAATGATCATCAGGGCACTGATCATTAGTGCCCTGATGATTACTGCACATGTCCCCTCTGTGGAATGCCGATTACCAGCTCTCCTCTCCTCACGCGCTGTCAGCTTGACAGCTCGTGAGGACAGGCATGCCGATAAGCGGCATTTCCTTATTTACATGCGATCGGCTGTGATTGGACACAGCTGATCACATGACAGAGGCAACATCGTCGGCTCTTTCCGCTGATCGGTGATCCGCTGTGTCCCAGGGACACGGTGAACCACCGATCGCCATGTTGCGTGCCCCCCGGGTACGAGCATGTGTGGTTAGAGTGGGATGACATCATATGATGTCCTCCCAGAAAGAGAGAACCACCTCGGTCCATCATTTCCTTATATGGCGGGCAGGAGGTGGTTAAACTATCTTTACGACTTAAAATTGATCTTGGCTGCAGATCTTAGGAGTTGCAGCTTGCTTGTGGTTTATACAGTAACTTAAATGACATTAAAATATATGAAAACCCTAAGAGAAATTTTGCTCCCATTTAGTTTGTTGAATATACAGAAAACATTTTGTTTTCCTGCTAAAAATTAGCTGATAATTTTCTGTATTACACTCATATTAGTTGCTTTTTTTCCCCAGGTATGTGTAGCGCTACCCCACAGGAACTTCTTGGTAATTTGGGTTCTCAGTTCTGCTTCTCAACTCTAAGAAACATCCTCAGCCCCTCTGACACACCTGATTGAATGAGAGTTACTGCAAGCACCACCAAACCACTCTTGCTTAACCCTCCCTTTAGAAAAATTAAAACATTTGTGTAATATTTTATACAACAGACCCATTAAATATGATAGCACCTTTATACGTAAAAACCATCAATCGAAGCTAACCCATGTTACATGCTGCCAGCCTAAACTTATAGTTTTCAGGTCCCAGACCCAACAATATTTTCAGTCTGTCTTCACCAAATAGGGTGTGGTGACATACTGAATACATTTGATAAAGGGAACCTTGGCTTGAGTCATAAAAATAAAAAAAAAAAATTAAAAGGGATACAGCTGTTAAATTGTGCATGGTGAGATATGATATAATCAGAGTATACTTCTGCACATCCACTGATAAGAATTAAAAGGACACTGTACCTAACACTATGGTTTCATCTTTACAAAATGCTGGGTGACCTGACTCGTGCACTCATTCCTTAAAGGATAAGGTAACCTTTCATAACATGTTACATGCTACACCCATATTTATGCTCCCCACCCCGGTCCCCTGCTTTGGCAGCTAGTGAAGCACCATGGTAGTTCATTGATTATTCCTGTCAGTATATCTGCTTGCCTGTACATCCCATACGGGCAAGCAGATACCTTTACAGGTCTTCAGGAGACCTGCATGACACCAGCGATCTGCTGTTTGCTGGTGCAATGGTTTACTCAGGCAACTGCAACAAAAAATAATAACCGCATATTTTGTTACCCGCAAAAAATGTGCACTTATTATTTTTTTTAGCAACAAGTGAACTTATCCTTTAACCCCTTTTCAGCCATTGTCCTCAATTTTCCTACAAAATGGAATGAAGGAGATTTTCTATAGACTAATTTGGGTAAGCAGCAGTCTTTCCCTTAAAGTGTTACAAAACCCCGGACCCTGCATTCACTATATCTGGTCTCCCACAGTACACAGAACATGGAGATACAATTATTTTAGTAAATATAAACCGCTAAATACCTTTTCTCATCAGCAGTGTATAGCAGTCTTGTGACTTCTATCAGTGTCTAGCCGAGCACTGGTTACAGCTTGTAGGAGGAGTTTTATTTCTGCTCTAGGAGGATGTAGAACCCCTGACCTCTGTCTGGACAGCACTGATTGGCCCTTTTTACATAATGCAGAAGATTAACCGCTTAGGTTCCACAGTGAGTATAACAAGCACGCTTTACTGCATATATAGACTGCTTTTACTGTAGTGTGTTTAGTAGCACTTTAACTTCTTTACTGTCATAGCTAATGTTTTCTACCTCTGGTGGCCAAGTTATTATTATATTATTATTATTATACAGGATTTATATAGCGCCAACAGTTTGCTCAGCGCTTTACAAAATGAAAGTAGACATTACAGTTACAATACAATTTGGTAGAAGAGGAAACAGCAGACCCTGCTCATTAGAGCTTACAATCTAGGAGGAAGGGTTGAGTGATACAAAAGGTAATAGCTGTGGGGGGATGAGCTGATATGTACTCACAATATGTACAAAATGTATTCCAGAACAACGGGATACATTTATCATTTTAATAATATTTATCAATTTTTTCTTGCCTATTTTGGCAAGTAATTTTTTCGCATGCATGTTAAAATCTGCATTTTTTTTCTAGAAAAGTACTTATCCCCAAACATTATATATTTTCTGAAAGCAAAGGCCCTGGAAAATAAAATATTGGCTGTTGCAATTTTTATGTCACATGATATTTGTGCAGCCATTTATCACATGCAAAGTTTCAGGAAAAAAAAAATCACTTAAATGAATTTTAGTGTACACAAGCACAATATATGTAGTGCTACCCCCAGAGGAGCCGCTGTAGTTTTATCAGTTCTTCTTCAAAGTCAGTTCAGAAGCAGCCATGCATACAGCAGCATTTCACTCATTGTGGCTCAAAGACCAGTCTAGGGGATATCTAATAGGTGTTTTATTGTTGAGGAACTTGGATAGGGTGTAGGGTAGTATGGGAAACTCCAGATTCACTAAATATTTACAGGACACTTCACTTTACCAAATCTCTTAGTCTTTATACAGGAACAAGTGTGGATAGCAGAGTCAGACCCCCTTCTTAGATGTTATCCCAAGCAGGAATACTACTGGTTTATCCACCCAGGGGATACAGCACACAGTCACAAAAGCCTGCAGTCACAGAACCCTGTGGTCTCAGGTCAGTACTCACAATACCACATGATCACCAAATTCCTCCTTTCAGTATCCACCGGACACTCTTCAGTGAGGGAGAGGTTAATGCTCAAAATGCCTTAGGACAGCCAGACTCCTTTTAACTTCCACTGGGCCCTCTTCAGTGAGCTCTTTTGATCAGATTCCAGGTGAGGATTCCTTGACTAGCTCCAAACAAGAATCCTAGTAAATAGGCCCTCCTGCTCTGCCGCAGTTGAGACCATGATGAAAGAAGGCTAAGTTCTGATTAGCTGCTGCTGCAGGTTGGGGTGGACTCCCCCTAGCCAGACAGTTGGATTCCCTCCAACAAAGAAGGAACAACCTTGCTGCTCCAACTTCCAGACTCATTATATGCCTCTCCAGGCACCTTTTGGGGAACACCTCCCCAGGGATTGGCTGGAGTACAATAAATATTCAGGCTGCCCATTTGCCTTGCTCAACCTTCTAAGTTCCAGAAGCCTCTAGAAGGCAGGGGAGAGCAATTAAACCTACAGTCTGTGAGATCCAGAACAGCCAAAAGTAATCAACAACTGGACCACTACTGAGAGCAGGGTCTTTACATGGAACTAGTGCTGCCATAAAAAAACAAGGTCCATCCAACTGGAGAGATAGGGGAATGCTGGGAGAGGACATATATAGCCTGGCCTGGGAAAAGTTCACTCTCTTGGCATCACTGCCTGAGGTTGGAAGGAGGGGACTGGCCACTCTGGAGACAGTGTGGGGAATCTGCAGCAGGAGAGCTATATACTTGTAAGCAAACAATCCGTTTCCAGCCCCCTGGCGGTTGAGTGACTGTCTAGGGTCACTCTCATTGTCACTGTGGCAGACCTGGCTGAAACGCAGCATTGGCAGGTGCACGATTCAGTCACTTCTCACTGGACGCGGATTCTTCAAGAGCCTGTTCTGAGATGTCTTCTTCTCTTGAGCCTCGGTATCGTCAGGATTG